AAATCCCAAATTCGATATTTATTACTTCTGTTGTGTGAGTTGAAGAAACCTGCTGTCGAAACCAATTAAGCACATGTAGAAGTTTATGGTGATGCTGCTTGACCGTATCCTAATTGCAAATTGGACGGAGACCCAGCTCAAACTCTCAAAGAACTTTTGAAAAGCTTAGCAGTTGATGTAGTAGCTGCTCCCAGATGTTTGCATGCGATGGGAGCGAACCAAAATGAAGAAAAATGACGATCGTAGGAATTAATCGAAAATGTCATTTCCAAAAGCTTCAACATTGTGATTTCACTCCTTGTCAGGCGAAAAAAGAAGAGTTTTCTGCGTATTGGCGTACTGGCGATGAAAAGTGGACCTATTACGGCGATTCCAAACGCAGAAAATCCAGAAGAGCCATCCATATCGACACTGAAGCGGAATACCCATGACCACGGGGGATACAGTTTTGGTGTTTATATGGTGGGAGGAGCAAGGTGTAGTGTATTACGCGTTGCTAAAACCGAATAAAACTGTTACTGCATATGGCTACCGACAACAATTCAATAAATTGAACGATGTATTGCTACAAGAAAGATCAGCAATAGCGGTTAACAGGCGCACAGAGTTGTTACAGATACATTGTGGCAACTCAAATGGGAAGTTCTACCGTACCCCTTAGACATAGCGCCTTTCGATCACCACTTGTCCACATCGATGCAGCGTGTATTAACGGGCGTCTGCTCTCAAAATGCTGAAGAAGTGCGAAAATGGGTCGATGCTTTTATCACTGCCAAAGCGACATCGTTCTTTCGAGGCGGTATTGTCATGCTGCCAGAAAGATCGGAAAAAGTTGTAGAAAAGGATGCAAGGTCCATTGATTATATACATATTGCTCCAACTTTATCTTAATAAATGCCTTTTTCAAATAGATAAATGATCAAAATACATGCAAGCACCTAATACAATCGAGCTTAAAGTGTTTTTCAAACGTCATGATCGGGAACAAAGACCATTGCGAGTTATAGCAGTGCATTAAGATAAGAAAAAATCGGGTTCTGTTGCCTTTTGGTTTTATATTTGATGAAACTGATTGTACATTACTTTGATCATTTAAAAAATTTGTATTCACTTACAGTTCGAAGTACAAAGTGCATCTGATTCGATTACGATTAGTAATTATAGTGAATCGTTTCTAATCAACGAAACTTATAGGATCATGAGCGCTATTAACTCATCTGGTAGTACGGGTACAGAGCGTTTTCAGTCGGCTGCTTCAGAATATTTCAAGTAATTTTTATGCTATGATTCTCAAACGTTACGCCATTTAGTTCGAGGTGAAGAAGTTACAATACCAACAATGACTTGAAACAGGTCCATATTTTGTTGTACTAATCTACATACAATCATTTGCTGAAAGGACGTAAACCTAGATCTAGAGATCATAATTTTCGAGATAATTCAATGATGTCTGATATATTAGAATCTTTTGGTCCAAAAACTAATTCATGAGAAAATGGATTGGATCGGGTCATCTCGCGATCTATTTCGAGGGAATCTTTGAAACAATATTCTATTTTAATTATTTTTGGCAAAAAATCAGAAAGTATTAAGCGAATGTGGAAAATTTGAACAGCGCGGGACTATTGTTTTAATCTCTTCTGATACCAAACATCAGCCTTTGTATGATAATGTAATCGTATTTTCAGTACTTTGAAAAGAAAATTGGTCTAGAAGTTGGTCTATGATTTTACGCGTAAATGTAGTCTACTAAGTTTGGATCATATACCTCTAAATTTCCGTACTCTTTCTGTTAGGGTACTATCTCTTACAAGGCTTCTTTTGAAAAGTAAGGCCTTAGAATGCAACAAGGTCTAGTTGATGGTATATTGTGATAAATATAAATAAAGCCTTTTAATAGGTAAAGTGGTATAATGCTTCAACGTAATAGTTATACCCAACATCACCTGTGGTGCACGGTGTATTACATTTGTGCGGATTGTTATAGCACCCAGAAGGATTTCTTTTTTATCGATTCCAAAAATGATTTTAAACTTGTCCGTCCGACTGTCCATCCGAGATATTTTGATGAAATTTAGTACGCTGACGCATTTTGGCCCAACGACGAGTTCTATTGAAAATGGTTCGGACCACTTTTTCTACGACACCCCATAAAACTCCTTACTTGATAAGTCAGATAATAAAATGTATTACGATATTAGAATCTCACGACAAAACTCGCATGGTAACAGTATTTCGGCATTCTTAATTGCCATATTTCCTGAATTTTTAAAATTATTTCCTAATAATAATTTGACATAGAAGTTAATTGTAACGAATTTGGACTATGTGGGGATATATCTCGGATCTCAACCCGCAAAAGGGTTCTAATGAAAAATAAGTGTTTATATGCCAACAAAGTCTAACTTTCAATAGTTTGTGATGAAAATTTGTCTTCGGTTAATCAATCATAAAGAATTTGGATTACATAGATCTGTTTTTTAAACCTTGGCAATCAATCAAGGCAATAAAGCCTCTGGAAAGCAAGAAAATCTTTGTGAAGTGAATTACGTGTAGATCACGTTGATATTTGCGTATCGTCCAATGCGAGGGCTTTCGTGAAATTTAGTCATTTACGTAAAAATAATGCGTAACGTTTGGTGTGTTATTATTAGGCAAAGTGCTGTAGGGTACCTAATGGTCGGCTTTGCCCGGCTATAGCATTCTTACTTGCTTTGATTTTAAATTGCGATTTCTTCTTTACAGTCGTTTCATACTTGAGCTGAATCAAAGTGAGGGTATTCATGATCTGGGTGCTATTAAATGGGACATGGCCGTGTGTCTCTTGATCGTTTATTTGATATGTTATTTTTCGCTCTGGAAGGGTATTAGCACATCGGGCAAAGTTGTGTGGTTTACGGCTTTGTTTCCTTACGCCGTACTTTTAATTTTACTGATACGTGGCATAACCTTACCCGGCTCTGCTATGGGCATACGTTACTATTTGAATCCCAATTTCGATGCTATTTACAAAGCTGAGGTGTGGGTTGATGCTGCAACACAAGTGTTCTTCTCTTTGGGGCCTGGGTTTGGAGTTTTGCTGGCCTACGCTTCCTACAACAAATATCACAATAATGTATATAAGTAAGTTCTCGCTTTCAAAAAGGAGAAGTAAAGACCTGCTAAGATATTAAACATACTATGATTGCTCTTTACCTAGGGATGCTATGCTTACAAGCTGTATAAACTCGGCTACAAGTTTTGTGGCTGGCTTTGTGATATTTTCAGTTTTGGGTTACATGGCTCATAGATCGGGTGAAAATATTGAAGATGTGGCCATGGAGGGACCCGGTCTAGTATTCGTTGTGTACCCAGCAGCTATTGCTACCATGCCGGGCAGTACATTCTGGGCTTTAATATTTTTTATGATGCTTTTAACTCTGGGTCTAGATAGTTCAGTGAGTTTTTGATAGCAATGAAGAAAAAAAAAAAGGGGACAACAAAAAATTATATTTTTTTTTATTTCTCAATAGTTTGGTGGTTCCGAAGCTATTATCACTGCCCTAAGTGATGAATTCCCTTTGATTGGCAATAATCGTGAGTTATTCGTGGCCGGATTGTTTTCGTTATATTTTGTAGTTGGCTTGGCCAGTTGCACTCAGGGTGGATTTTACTTTTTCCAATTACTCGATCGTTATGCTGCCGGCTATTCGATATTAGTGGCAGTATTCTTCGAAGCTATCGCTGTATCTTGGATTTATGGTGAGCACGATTTCTCTTGTAATTCGTGTTTATAAAAGTTCAACTTTATTACGCCGTAGGTACTAATCGTTTCTGCGAGGATATACGCGACATGATCGGTTTCCGGCCGGGTAAATATTGGCAAGTGTGCTGGCGTTTTGTGGCTCCCATATTTTTATTATTTATTACTGTGTACGGTTTAATTGGTTATGAGCCTCTAAGCTACGAAGATTATACATATCCAGGTTGGGCTAACGCTTTAGGTTGGTGTATAGCTGGCTCTTCAGTTATTATGATTCCAGCTATAGCTATTTACAAATTAATCACCACTCCGGGAACCTTCAAACAGGTAACAATTTTCCATATTCTACACCGGGTTATATTGTGTGCATGTATGCAACGTCGAGAAGAATTTGAGCCATCCTTTAGTATACTGAAGACGCATAGACAATTTCAGATCGATTCAGAAAGTGTTTCTGAATTTATTTAAGATTGTCTATTCGTCTGTCTTTTTGCCTGTCTTATATTCTTTTGTTCAATTTACCCACCTTTTATTATACCGATTGATTCAGAATTATATTTTCATCCGATCTGAACTTGCCCGTCCGTCACCCACCATTGATGTCTGTTCATGCATTTTTTTATGTTCAACCTACAATTTCTTTCCCCAATCACTTTCCGAATCGATCTAAGCTTATCTGTCCGTGTGTCCATCTTGTTTTCAACCTGCAGGCCGTAAGTAATATTTAGAAATTTGCACATTGGCTTGTTTTTCCTCAAAGAAGAGAAGAACAGTCTATTTTGAAAAATCTTACCGTTGAAGAACCGTACTAAGCAAAGTGGTAGAGGATTTTTAATGAGCCGCGGTCCATTGCAGCGTTTTCGCTTTTAATTTCACTTTAATTCTAATTTATCTTCTTCTTTATTAGCGTTTACACTATCTTACCACTCCTTGGCGTGATCAACAGGTTAATGTCAATGGTATTGCGGCAGAAGCAACTCAAATACGCTTAAACGATACGAAAGGCGAGAATACCGCCGAAGTTTGAAATCAACCATTCGCCAGATTCCGTGTTTATTATGTTTAGTTTTTCAAATACATATTACGCGCCAAGACAACGTCCCCATCCCAGGTGCAAAGCATTAACTGATTAACGTATGCGCAATCATTTTGTTTAGGGAATTAGTTATTAAGCTTTTAATATGTACATATATATATATATAAATAAACGAATTATGCAAATTTCATAAACAACGTACTTAGATTTTTAGAACAAAATGCAACTCTGAAAAATTGTGCCAATCAATTCCTCAGTATGTGGAGAAAACGCATAATATTCATAAAATTTTTTTTTAATATTTTTATTTATTTTTATTTTATTCAATTGTTAACATGCAAAGAATGCTGTGTAGGGATAATACAGATATGTAAGATAATAACTGTTATATACTATAAGTCATTAAGAGAAAAAAAAATTCAAAATTTCTTTTTAAACTGTATATACAGAGATTGTAATCAATCCGTTATGAGAAATTGAAGTGAAAAAAGCTTTAAATTGTTACGTAGTAATCGAAATGCTAATTAAGGCTCCATTCCTTTAACGGGTAATTAATTTTTGTACAACAGCCATGTACAAAAATTAATTCTAAAGGAATTTTGAGCGATTCTTTTCATTTGTAAAGTTGAAATAATTTACATATTTAATGTTTTTAGATATTTTCATTTTTTTTTGCAATATTTATATAACTCATTTTTACACAATTTTTTTTTTTTATTTTTTTTTGTTATTATGAAATGAAACAAAATTTCTCAGCCATAAATTTTGTTTCATTTCAAATGTAGTTTTGTAAATAAAGATAATTTCATTAAAACAAAAAAAAAAAAAAACAAAAAAATTGAATTTTCAATAAACAGCCATTTGAAAATTCAATTTTAGAATAAGTTTACTATTGATTTTACTTTTACTATTATATAATATTTATATGCTTTTGTTAAAATGAAATAAATGTGATTGTTTTTGTGTTTTTAAGTTTCGCGAAAAAATCGCTTTTCATTTACAGTGTTCTCATCGATACTTCCCTGCTTGAAGGGGAAATTTTATCAAATCCGTACATACTACACCGCTTTTGGTACAGTTGATTGAGTTTGCGCGGACGTGTGTAACATCCAGAATGGCTTTAGATGAACCCGATTTTTCTTATAGCGATCGCTTCAGTTTCACATCCTAAATCATTTGCTGAGTCGCTCAAGGTTGTTGTTGAGATATTCTCATGATATTTGCTACAGTGTGGTGCTTTGTCCACATGGCGAAAGCTGTTGAAAATTGTTCGGGTCGACCAACTCGCATGCGACGAATATGTTTCTGATATGATGAATATGATTTGCAATTTTCAAAACTTTTTGGCAAAGCTCACCTAAACACGTACAGTTAGCTGAGAATCTGCTTAAAACCGTAAATAAATGGCCTTGAAATAAAAAAAAATCAATATCTCAGGTAGAATATATTCCAATAAGTTTACGCGAACATAGTTCATTGAAAGTCGATCTAATTGAACAATTCTATGGTTGATAAGATTCTGCTCCGTAGTTTCTAGTAATAAAGTTTCGTTTAGAGGGTAAATTTCCTGTAGCAACCTAAAAAAAAGAGTCCTTTTTCTGGACAAGTTTTTTGGAGAAAGTTATATTCAGGTTATATTCAAAAAATGATTCTTAAAAAAGTGTTGGATTTGACAACATTGGAACTATTCGTGCGGATGTTTCGCTTGTTCAATCTGCGGCAGGCATTGTAAGCAGTGAAGATTTGAATGTAAATATGTGCTTAATTTGTATGCTTATGAAACATGGGTGGCGGGAATTGCTGAATATTAGAATGAAAACGACCATATTTTTTCGATCAAGAGAAGGTACTGCAAGTTGTGCATAGATTTGCATCTCCATTTGTCCACTTTCTGTTGGATTGGCCGTCAACTATGTGAAACTAAAACTTTTTTTATTCAAAATTTCGCGATCATGAACTTTTCAGTAACAGCATACAACAGAAGAAGTAAGTAAATGGGCGGAAGCACTTGCTGCATTTGTAATTGTAAACAAATTTCGGCTCGTATGAGAGTAATTAAATGAGCGAGCCAGTTACTCTCATACGAGCTGAAATTTGTTTACAATTGAGCGAACCAGAGACGGTATTTAAATGAGTTAGAACTGATTGCTGAAAATTTTCAAGTTTTCCAATATCTAAAGATTCTTAGCGCCTAACCCTATAGACTTCTTCAAAGTACCTGGAGAGCAAAATTTCGCTTCATTGCGAATTTTCGTTTGCCAGCTAACGGAAAACGGAGTGGACAAAGAAAACTAACGGTTGCTTTAAGCGCTATAATGAAATAATAAAACTGAAAATAGAGCTATTTAGCTACACTTTCTCTATATTATAATATTTATGTGCGATGGTTGTGCTTATTCCAAGAATTCGTTGCAAACGTTATCATTAAACAGAAGCCATAAACCAGAAAAAGAGATGCAAAAATAAAATTTAAGAAAACTAATTTATTATTTTGCCGATAGTAAAGATTTTAAAGATTAATTAAAAAATTACTAAAGAAACGAACAGCAACAACTCTAAATAGATGCAAAGCAAATAAACATGTGCACAAACTGCAAGAACAAAATGCACGCGATGCTGGATTTACAGCAACAAAATACATTTGCTGAGAAAATGAGAAATTCATTCTCTGAGCGTAAAATTTACTTTGCTCTAAACAATAGCACGTGTATGGCAAATGTAAACAAAAATCAGAATTTGCAACAAGTATTAGCTTTAAAACAAGGTTAATTTGACCAAATTTGAAGTTCCCTCATTTACTTCTCTTTTAATTTGATCAAATTCGAAGTTCGCTCATTGACTTCTCCTTTAATTTGACCAAATTCGAAGTTCGCTCATTTATTTCTCCTTTTTTACCAAATTCGAAATTCGCTCATTTATTTCTCTTTT